GAAATCAGTGAGTATATATATTATAATACTCTTCACATGATCACAGCAGTGCCTCTAGCAATGTTTATCTTCTAAATTCCTGCCAGTGCTCTAATCTAACGCCTTTATTTGCTGTAATTTCCAATCTCTAAAGCGATTTCGAAATGTTGTTTTAAGTTCAAGAGTTGCTAACAATCTTTCATCATGAGATGTATTGTTTGAATGTTTTCTGCTACAGGGAATACTGAATAAAAATGGTTTTCAGAGCCCCATTTCCTTTTCACAGCCCCATTAGTATCAAGCCCTGTTGTTTTCCTACAACAAATTCCTTAAAATCGTATTCCTGTTCAGGCACACCAATATTCACCATAGTGCTATTAACATCCCTTGGACCTTTGTTTAAAAAAATATTAATCTGCAACTTTTATTTTAATCATAAATTGTGTACACTGGCATGTGCTAATAGAAGATGCTAGAAATAGCAGAGTATCACTTTACAGAAAGCAGGGAAAATAAATTAGATCCAAAGATGTCTCTATCTCATTTAGTGGCTGAAATGACTTAACTCCATGAAAAAACAAAACTGAAATACATCATATATTGCCTGAAGGAACTGTAAAGAGCTTTAAAATTAGCAGTTAAATAAATTCACTATGAAACAAACACCTTTGTAGAAAATAGCATTCAGGTAAGAAAGAAAATGTTAGGAGACTTGCTCACACAGGGCATTATCCACCTTGCCTTGGCCAGAGCCTCAGGACCCCGCAGGCCTGTGGTGCCAGGCAGTGTGTCTGGTACCTTTTCCTGCACTCAACCCCAAACCCACAGGACTCCACACTCAGAGAACTGGCCCAGAAAACAAACTATTCCTTGAGTTACAGACACTACCAGATTATCTCAGTTAAAAGTTCATTATGCAGTGTATTTCAAAACTAACACATTTTCCAGCACTGTGTCATTCAATTCTGTATTAAGCTAAATTTTAATTTGAACTGCTGACACCTCCTTCCCAACAGACTGCCTTGCGTTTGAGGCTGTGGATATGGATAGCAACCAGCTTCTTTCAATTAGGTTCTCAAGACACAATATGCAAAAAAAGCACATTCCAAATAATCACTTCAGATCTGTGTTATCTGGCTTTAAATTCTGCCATTATCTCAAATCCCAATCCCAAAGATGCAGAAGTATTTCTACTCCAACCCACACGTTTTGCAGCACAAGTGCTGTAACATTCTGGTCCCACTGAAGGTATCATGGTCCTACTTAATTCAGTGGCAAGTTTCCCATGTCAGTGTATGAGCACTGTCCAGATGATGATTACCAGTGGGATAAAAAGTATGTCTTTGTCTCTAGCATGTGACAGAAGTGCTTTGCCAATGGAAAGGTCTGTCCAAGGTCAGCAGTTCTGTTACCAAAAGGTTCTGTTACACGTGAGCCAGTAAGAAAATACTGCTGAAAACTACTTTGAGAAGTCATTCTGACATAGTTCAGGGCTGTACAGCCTATAGCCTTCTCTACACTTTACAGAGTTGGTAATACATAGCTTTTTTCTCTTAACTGTAAAAAAATACGAGAGTAAATATACAGCCTGATGAATACATCATTAATAGTTATGAATAGCTGTTATATACCACTCCAAAACTGGACTGCTTTCTTTCCCAAGAAACACACACCAGAAAACCAGCATGAGATGTTTCCTGGGGAATTTCAGATACACCTCATGGCTCTATTAGAGTTAGTCTGTTTTGGCTCACTAAGACACACTGGTTAATGTTGCAGCCCATTCTCAACTTGACTGGTAAAATATTTTCCTTTATCACATCGACACTCTTCCTACAGTAAAGATTTACAAGAAATGGAAAGCCTAAAAGGAATTGGAATACTTGGGCAGGGGGAGAAGAAAATACTCTATTTGTGCTGTATGAAATTCAATTCATTCCAAACTGGGATTTCATGAAAAGTTAATTATAAAGTTCCCTGAACAACCAATTAGCCCATCTCCTTTAATCTGCATATTCTGACTACCCAGAAAACATTCCAGAAACACTTTAAAGCTTTATATACCACTGCCATGCTTTCTCATTTTAACAGAAGTTTATTGTTTTCCAGTGGCAAGAACTAAAAAATTTTATTCTGGAATCACTCCAGCTTGTGTGCAAAAGCCAAAAATGCAGTCCTCAAGATGAGAAAACTCAGTAAGCTCAATCATATTCAGCAGAAACAACAGAACTGTGCTTCTTATGAGAGCTTTACAAAAATGAGCAGTAGACTCATACAAAATAGTTCACAAAGGCAGTATGGAGAAGCTTTCAAACATTTGGATGACTTCTAGCCAAGGTTGAAACTCATATTCTTGCCTGCTTTTTCCAGCACCTCCTGATTTTAAAGAAATACCTCCTTGTGAACACTCCTGATCACTCACTTGCTTAGTACTTTAGAGGAAAGTGTGGAGCTTGGTAAACCTGCTTAATGAAACCACATGGAACTCAAGACAATCTCCCAAACAGAAAAACAGAGTAACTGATACCTAGGAACACCTGCCATCATCTCCTAAAAAGAAAATCTTAATGACCTTGAGCTGACTTCCAATTATGCATTGAAAAAAGTAAAATGTACAAAGTGAAAGGAAAACCAAAAGCAACCAACTTATGCTCCTTGGAAAAAAAAAGGAAATGGTGCTTACAAGCAGCTCTTATGGCTACAACTAGATTTTGACAGAACAGGGTATTGAAAATTCAGTTTTGCAAAGCACTCAACTACATCCTTAAAGAATGGCTGCCGGGTTAATTTTATTGTTGCTGCTGCAGCATAAAGATAATTTTAAGTTTTTAAATTGTCATTTTAAAGTTTGAAACGTCTGCTTATAAATGCCTGCTCTGAGTTTTCAAGTTTCCCAGATTCACCAGTGTTATGTCCACTATAAAAATGTTTAAATTCTGTATGCTATTTTATCAGTGAGAAATCTGTGACCACCAATAAACCAAAAAACCAACTTCATAATTACCATTTCACTTGTCCAATAAACTGTTTGATAAGCCTTTCTCTTAGTTTCAGCTTTCTGATCTGCTTAAACATGTTCATTTTTGTCCTGGTGTAACTCACCTGCCTCAATAAACCAAGTTTATTGTGTAACAATGTAAGCAGAGTGGCTGGAATCCTTCTAGGCTGGAATTACATCCTCAAGAATTCCTAACATGGGAGGGAGCTGGCAAATTTAGCAGACTAAATCCATACCAGCACTTTTAAATAAAACATATGAAATGGATAAAAACAAAAAAAGAAAGAAAGAAAAGAGGATAGCATAAACCAAGAGCTCAGAGTTAAGGAGTAGCATGGGAAAGAAAAACTCTATCACTTTCCCATACATGCCAACAGCCTGGTTATTTTTGAACAAAAATGTTACTCTCTTTCTGTCCTGCCCATTACAAAAATGTTCAAGTGGCTCAGGACATTTTAATATAGTGAAGGGAGTTTTTCTGTCAGCTGTTTTCAGATGCTGGCACATAAATCTGACAGAAAAATTACATTCAACTCCGTGATTTTATACATCAGTAATGTGACTACTTCCACTGTACTGCCAAGTCAGCTATGTTCTCACCCATTTTCTACCAAATGTACAAGTATCCATGGAAATTCTTTAGAAAGAATTATTGCTTTAGTTCATCATCAATTAAGTTAGTGTTGATGGATGCTATACAAACTGTTCTCATGAAAAAACAAATGCTGGTGTATATTGGTATATAATGAATTAAAACCTCATTTGGATGAAACCAAGACAAATAAGAACTGAGAAGACCACCCAGACATTAGGTTCAGAACATTTGGCTTTCTTGGACTGAGGGTAGCTTATTCTATTTCTCCAATTTTGAAGTAAATTTTTGGTAAAATTATAGAACTCACTTTCCAGTACAGACTGTTCCCCATAATAAACTCCCATCTACAGGCAACGTTTCTGTGGAGCTCATTCCAGCTTCAGCAGGAATTAAGGGGAAGAAAAGAGAGCAAAAGCAATTCCATAATAAGCACCTTCCTTTTTTGTACCTGAGCAGCACTGAGATGCTTTACCCACCAGAAGGGAGATAAAGCAGCTGTCCAACAAGAGGACTGGCATTTGGAACCTCTAGTACAGCTAGACAGTTTCTAGCAATAACCACACCAAGCTAGCACAGAAGTTCTCAGGTGGCTCCAATGTAACCATCTGCAATGGTTATTTCTAAGGCCGATCTAAGGATGGTAAAGAGAAAACTGAAGGGTGAGGGGGAGGTTTTACAAATCATAAGTAACTCTTCTCTATCCAGTCCACTCATCAGAAATGCCTACAAAACATGCCCAAATGTAGCCAAACCAAGGGCTCTGTAACCTGGAAGCACAACAGGTTACAGTGGGGAATGCCACAGCTCATAAATGCACACAAGACTGATATAGATATGGTATAAATTCCACACGATCTCTAATTTGCAACCCACTATACATATCTAGAAGTATAATTAAGAGACTATGCTATTATAAATATTCCAGGATCCTCCATGGTTTTGAATTAGGGACCTGCTTCTGAATAAACAACTGTACAAAGAACTTGGATTCTGTGAGTACCTCCTCAATATCAAATGATCTCACTTTAAAAGAACTGAAATTTTTGGCAATCAGAAGATGCTCTTTTCTCCTCAAGCAGCCTTTTATATACACAAGCATCTGCTTGGCTGGATTCTTGACTGATCAGAGAAGGTTAATGATGTGGGAAAGGGAAACATCACAGCGGAACCAATTAAAAGGAGAAACTAAAGCCAAGTCAGACAGACAGGGAAATAGATTGTAACAGGTCTACAATGTTTGTCATGCAAGATCAATCTAGAATTAAAAACAGCCAGTTAGTTCTGATCAAAACACCTGTTTAACGATTTGTTTTCTTTTCTCTCTTCCTGACATTGATTTCACAATGCTCAGAAGGCCTTTCCTGGCATAACCTCCACCCAGTTGCACCAGCACACAAAGCATTCTTCATTCACTGAGATGCAACTTACCCAAATAGTTGTTGCTCTTTGACATCTCAGTAATGTTGATTTTAGTAGCTCCTTCAGGAATTTCCACTATCTTGTGGTAGCCAAGATTTGTTAGCGTGTGTTTGAAAACTCCAGACACAACTTTGCAAGCAGTGTTGTCCCCTCCACATATTCCACACTTGTCAATCACCTTGTCAGAACCCAGATAGTCGTCACAGCCAATGCTCTGCAAAATAAAGTAAGATTTCTTTTTCTAAGATCTTACAACTGCAGACTTCGGACACAATAACTGAGAATAACATGAGTTTCAGAGGAGAATCAATTCTGAAATGATTTTGTGAAGTAGCATCTTAGCAATGTCTTCTCTATGGAAAAAAAGCAATAAAACCCAAAGGGTTCTCAGACTCGGTGTTTTCAAGGTAGCCAACAGGTTTTTACATCCTGCCAGGCAAAATCCAAGAACACACCATGAGCAGTAGTGCATTGATCATACCGACTGATCATACTGACTCCTCAGCTGAAAGAAAAGCTGGACAACGAAGTTCCCACAGCTGCTGCTCAGGAAAGAGGTGGAGAGCTATGATTTTGTTATAATTCAAAATAGGCTTTCTACAGAAGCAGAACTACTTCCTCTATAGTCTTGTCTTAGCCTCCTCTACAAGTGAGCACTCAGCCTATTCTCACCAAAAGAGGTATGTGGGAAATCTTTATACTGCATCTAGACAGTTAGAGATGAAACCCACCTGTTCATTGAGTAGAAAACCTTCAACCCACTGAGTAACACACACCTGGACAGGATAGTTTAAAACAAAATAATTTCCTAGAATCATAGAATGGTTTGGGTTGGAAGGGGACCTTGAAAATGATCCAGTTCCAGCCCCTTTGCCTTGGACAGGGACACCTTCCTCTAAACCAGATTGTTCCAAGCCCCATCCAGCTGATCTTGATTTGTACAATCCATAAAACAGCTTTAAAGATGAGATGCTAAAGGAATCCTGGATGACCAGGGATATAACTGTGGTTTTTGCAAAAACAACACTGCTGGCCATTTGTCCTAACAGTTTAAAAAGCAACTTATCTGAGATAAATCAGCTTCTGTTTTGTGACAACATAGAAAGCACTTCAGCAGCAAGCCAAGGAAGAGATTTGATGTCCTGGAATTTTGATATTGTTTATGGCCTAAGTATAGCCTGGAGAAAAGTAGGAATTCGTGACTGGCTGACAGCTAAGCAGCATAGAGACAAATCACACGGGATTTACTTCTGCAGTACAAGCTTGAATTTGACTTGGCTAGTGAGGAAGCTCCAGATCCTTAGGAGACAACTTTAAGATAAGCAGCAGATATTTAATAGATCTCTTCACAATACCTTTAAGTTATTAATAAGCAGAAAATCAGCTGCATGTAATTAGAAACTCTGTATTCCTCAGAATAAAATTTGGTTTTATTTGTGAAAAGGGTAGAAATGCCCAACTCAGGGCTTGCTGTTACAGGCATCACTGTACCTGTGCTTTGGAGACAAGACATTCCCCAAACCCTTTACAAACATGGCACACCTGATCTACCCAGGGCCAGAATGTCCAACAATGAAATCCCTGCAACCCATGCACCCCCAAGAATCACACAGGCTACTTCCTGACATCACATGAACCACTTCATCCAGCCACTCTCACACAAGGACATTGGGGTCAAGGAGCTTGTCAGAATACCAGACATCTGGGGTTTCACTCCCATGGTATTCCATTGATGGCTTACTCAGGAGAAAGATCTGAGTGATCAACAAATGTATTCCAGCAAGAACTACAAGTATCATTAAATAGTAGGACTTCACAGTAACGCAAGTATTGGCTTTATTTACAGCCATTGAAGCCAGCAGTAGTATGTTCTTCCACCTCAGCACATCAACAGCAATATTGGAAAATCAATCAAAATCTCCCAAACTTCAAAGAAAACATAACTAATTTCTGTCACAGATTTTGGAACTAAATTTTATTATTCTACTTCACCATTGTGTCCTATAATGAGATACAAGAATAATGATGTCCACAAGGTGGCACTTACAATCCTTATGAAATCAAAATGTAGGTCTTTGCAAAACAATAAAAAAATAGAATTTCTTACACCTAAACACAAAGTTGATATTGCACTTCTTTTCAAATTACCTTTTACCACATGAGTAACAACTCCTGCTGCTTTGTTACCAGTAATACATACTTTAAAATTTTTCAGTCAACCCAAGGATTTATTTTGCTTTGGAATGAAATAAAATGCTCTACTAAACTGAAATTTAAAAAAAATCTCAAACTGTTTCTTCTTGTATCATATGTTCTCCTTGTCTGGTGACCAGGTGGCTTCATTTATCAATCATAAATAAATATTTTAATCCAAATCCTCATGTCTTTTCTCCAAAGAAATCCTCACTGACTTCAAAGTTGACATCAACTGGAAATTTGCCAAGTCATAGAAGTCGGCCTCTTTATGGATTTGACAGGGCAGAATTTTATCAATTCCATGGTCTTCACAATGCAAAATTTACTAACAAATTTAAAAGACTTTTGGATTTAAGTGTGTCAAACAGAAGTATGTATGTTATTTTTCAATCACATGAATTTTTGTGTAAAATTAAATCACTTCCACTGAATCTGGGAAAATGAGAAAGATCAAGTTAGGAAGCACCTGAGAAAATTTTATGTACACAAATCTTTGGGACCAGATGAGGTCATGGTGATTGGAGGTGATGCCTAAAAAGTGACTGCCACATCCATCTTCATTTAGGGCAAGAGGACCTGAGGCTCAGTTGCAGGTTGGTCACCCTAACAACCCTCAGAAAGACTGCAGAGCCAATCCTCATGGAAGTCATTTCCAAATGTAGGAAGGACAAAAAAAAAACAAAACAAAACAAAACAAAGATCAACCATCGTGGACATACCAAGGTCAAGCTGTGTCTGAACTTGTGATTCACTGACAAGTTCAGCACATGAGTGGAGAGGAATGGATGTTCTGTGCCTTGACTTTAACGAGGCCTTCAGAGTCTCCCTCAGTATCTAACAGCCACACTGGAGAAATTCAGACTGGGAAAGCTGACAATAAGGTACTGACAGTAAGGTATCACAGACACACTGCTCATGTAATCCTTTCCCTCCAGGCAGGAGGTACAGCAGATTAGGAACACGGAAGCACATACTGCTTTGGCATCTGAAAGCTCTGGCTCCTCATCTTTCAGAAATACAGTTTGCATTAGTGGACTTAGATTCCTTTCCCAGACAGTCAGTTTCTGATATTCTCACTCCAACTTTTATTTCTTGCCTTTGGTAAGTCTTTCTCCTCTCCACTAGGAAGGACACTAGTTTTTCTGAGTTTTTTCCTCGGAAGTCTAAGCAATTCTGCCTAGAGATTGGCTGGATGGCTCTCCCTTCAATGTGTGAAGAAGTGAGCATAATGCTACTACTTTTCTCTGGCCAGTGTTAAAATCTTTGACCTTCACATATCATCTTAACTCCTACAATTAGATAAACATAATTCCTTTCATTTCTCTGTCTGTGAAGGGTAGTAAATGAAACACCAATGAAGATGTTATGACTGCTAGAGAGTAACAGCCAGCATGTGCCATTTTAATAGCACAGCAGGGAAATGCCAGCACAGCCCGTGTCTGAAGCATTTTACTGTAGGAGGCACTGCCTGTGCACAGACACCAGTGCAAGGTTTGGGGGTGCATGTTCTTCAGTGGAAACGAACTGAACAGGCTGTTCAGCAGTGAGGAGCCATGGCTGTACTAGAGCAAGAGGTAAACCTCATGCTTCAGAAAACCTCCCAAGGCAGAGCACAAGAAAGCCAGCAGAGCCTGCTCATCTCACTTCAATGTCTCACGCGTCTTCAAGGTCGCAGCCTAACCCTCATTTGGTTTACAAATCAAAGGAGCAATGCTGAGAATTTACATTCAACCACAGGATAACAAACAACATTCTAATGGCTCTCACTTGATTTGTGGTTAGCTATAACCATAATTTTTACCCAAACATTTGATCCTGCTTTGGCTTTCAAATATTTCCTGCTGTCCACAGACCTAACGCTCACAAATCTTTGATGCTATTTACAGCCCCTCACGATTAGATTGTGGTCACATCCAGATGTGGTCCACTTAATTAATCACAGATTTTCTTACCTGCACAATAGCTGGTTTCATTACCTATCTGTGCTTTAAGCTGAACTTCATTTGGTCAGATAAATTTCAGACAGTAAGAAGAAGCAAGCTACTCATTTTTGACAACCTTAAGAATTCAAATTACATTTATAGTATGTGGATATGTACCAGTTTAGTGAAAAAAGCTACTCACATGAAGACATATGAAGTCTCTTTCACTAAGATATTCAATAGTTTCTTACTGGTTAGAAAATTACTTGAGAGAAAAAAGGTTTTATACTTGTTACAATGGAAAAGTAAAGCCATCCAGGAAAAGTAACCATGTGAAAAGATGGTCTTAGAGATATCAACTAATAACAGCTAATAAAAAAGGATTAAAAAATCTAAAGTATGCATCTCACACTGATACCTCAGACAGGAAAACAACTTCTCTCCTGTTGTTTTAAGGAAAGATACTATAAATGGAACTTGTAGCTCTCCCATACACAAACCCAATGTAAGGTTTATGAAATCTGCCTAAACCCCCAGCAATAAAGACCTGAAATACAAACAGACCCTTGCTGCCTGTGACCTACTGAAGTCAAGAGAGCTATTCAGCTTTGAGACTCACTCTACAAAGAGCTTATTAAAGGAGTTTACTCAAGTGTTTTGAAGTGGCTGTGTTAGCAGCATTTAAGAGTGAAGAAGATGAAGACTAATCATAATATGTACATTACTTTGGCAAACATACCTCCAAAAGGTGAGTGCAGGGCTTGTGGGCGTGTCCCCATTTGATCCCATGCAGTTCAAGCTCTCATTTCTGTCTTGGTTAGGAGCAATCTGTCTTACCCACTCCCAGGAGGCTCTGGCACTGAATCCAGCCACAGGCACATGTCCCCACACAGAAGGAGAGTAGTTTCACCATGGCTGGACCCTGGGCTAGGCTGCTCCCATATATACCTGCTGCTAGGCCACTCACAAGCACATCCAGGGTCCCAACGCTTCAGTTCTGAGGCTTTGTACTTTCAAGCTGATCAGATTGCTCACGTTCACTAAGAATGAAAATACTGTGATAAAAAACAACAGAAGTACCTCAAATTGAAAAGTT